TTAATCAATAAAAATTATTGATTTGTACTTTAGAGTGATTAGATTGTATGATATGTATGCTAACGTCATATCATATTTAGTTTTTACGTCATTATATTGGTGAACTTTAAATGTAGACATTTTAAACGGTGTGTCATTTGACACGACGTACTATAACGTTGTTGTTTTTTAAAACTCGAAGTTTATAATCTTAAGCAAATTTTTACTAAGGTGATCAAAAATTAAGATGACAGTGTAAGATATAGAAAAAGAAAATACATTGAGTGGTGAAAATAAAAAAATTGTAATTAGACATAACGTCTTATGTATAAGTAAACTTTCTTAAAAATTAAAGAAGTTCAAGTCAAAAAGAAGTTTGATGAAAACTGTAATACTAAAGCGAACATGGGAAGGTAATCTGCTTGAGGTTAAACATCGCCATGTTTTCAAATATCGCGATGCAAGTCACGTTCTCTCCCCTCTTACTTAGTAATCGCCTCCTCTACCCATTGTTTACAAGACTCTTACAAAGAAAAAATATCCCACCCCTCTACTTGAGACATAAACTACAAAAGTGTATTGTGCCTTGTCGTCACATGAAACAAAAATGGTGGCGTCTAATGTTGTTAACCCTTGTCTTCCTAAATTATTTTTAACTTGTTAAAGAAATTGACTGTTTAGTTAAGGATTCTGACGCGCAATTTTTTTCACAAGGGACGATACTCGTGGCTGTAAACAAGTCTGTTCTAATTTTAGAACAGTTGTCTTTCCTCTCGTTTCTCTATTAGGGAAGACATGTGGGGAAGCCACGCGATACGTCTTTTAAAATGTAAACAAACGTGCACAAGGTGCACTTAAAATAAACCCCGCTGTGAAAATGGCAACGGCCTGGTGACACTTTTTGGAAAACACGCTTTCATGTTAATAAAATAAGGGTCGCTTTTGTTGTCGCCATGATAATGTATACCTATAAGTTCTCTCCGCCTTTACCGACCTAGTATGAATTTCGCGCGCGCGCGTGTGTGTGTGTGTGTGTGTGTGTGTGTGTACGTGTATCTCAAAAAAGTGTATCATGTCAACACCTGGACAACCAGTCATAGTCAACAAGGCCTACTTCATTACAGATCTATAGGAAATCCCTCTTTACCTGTACTTACATTAGGAAAAGTAAACTCGTTTGAATCAAAAAATGTATTTAAATATATAGAGTTATAGAACCTTAAAGTTAACAGATGCTGAAAAAATAAAATAAAAAAATTAAAATTAAAATCCGCCTCCTCACCCACCTCACTCAGGTGGTAGAGTCTTTTACTATATATCCTTTACTCCTACTCGTGTTCCCCCCCTTCACCCACCTTCTCCACCTTCACCCACCTTTCACCCTTCACCCACCTGATAAGACCGTCACCCGTCTGCTTACACCCCTTCACCCATGTTACTATAAGCGAGTATGTATTGAACATTTGTTAATATTTCCCCCTTCACCCACCTGTTCACACCGTCACCCGCCTGCTTACACCCCTCACCCATGTTACTATAAGCGACTATGTATTGAACATTTATTAAATTTATCTGGTTCAGGGTGGTCAAATGGTGGTCAGATCAAAAGAAAATCGGAACGGTCATAAAAAACTTAATTACTTTTCCAGACTTGTAAAAAACATGTCTACCCCCGCATACCTTACGTACCAACGCACTAAGTCGCCCCTGTCGCCCATTAAAAAGCACGAACCTACCGAGACCTCGTTTCGTCTCAAAACCTGATTTAACGTTGGTTGAAAGAAAATTCCGACCCTTAAATATATTTTGTTTTCGTTGACCCTCGCTATAAGCGAATAGTTACAACCATTAATCTTTCATACATAGCAAGGGACGGTTCGTAGGCCATGTGGAAACAAAAAATTTTAATTTGATCAAAGAATGACCGGGCGTACGATATGTGAACATAGTTCATGGACAGCTGTAATCTAATGAAAAAAGCCGAGAGCCGTGACTAATTACAGCACCAGCTGTTACCTAAGGGCTTCACGGAGCTGACAAATCGATCGGTTTTCGCTGACCTCGCTATAAGCGAATAGTTACCGATGTCGCTACACTTAACGTGCGTGACCAATTTAATTAGGTGTGATGGTCAGTGGATGCGATCGATATTACACAGCTGTTGCATAATGACCTACGTACTTCGCGGAAAGCCACTTAATGTACGTCGTTAATTACCATGACCTTTCAAACCGAGCGGGGGAAAATCAATGATGCATAACAAAATTTAATTAGGTGGGACATCATGCTGTGATGGACCTGTCGCTGCGATCAATACGTAACAGGTGTTACATGTCTGGTTAATGGATGTTATTAACAAAGTACACGCTAACGCACCCCTACCCTCAAACCCCATCATTACTCCCCCTCTCATCCACCAACACCCCTATCCGTTTACTATTAAACATACATACAATCAAATAAACAGTGTCTTTTATTTTAAATACCATACATCAAAGAAAAGAAATATATCAAATAAATAAATAAACAAAAGTAATTAAAATCAAATTACGTAACTAGTTAATAATAATTTAACTAATTATAAAATAAAATAAAATTAAAAATAAACAAAATAAAAATAATTAAAAAGTAAACAAATAATCAAATTACGTAACTCGTTAATAAAAATTACACAATATAAACAAAGTAATTAAATTAAACAACAAGTAAACAAACAAATTAAACAAAATAAAAATACAATCAAAGTAATTAAATTACGTAACTCGATAATAAAAATTAATTAAAAATTTAAAAACTCATTAAAACTCTTAAAAATAAACAAACAAAATACAAACAAAGTAATTAAAATCAATTAAATTTAAAATTAAAATTTAAAATTTAAAAATTTAATAAATTAAAATCAAATCAATTAAATCAAACTAAAATTAATTAAAATTTAAAAAACAAAATAAAAATAATTAAAAAAATTAAAATCAAACAAATACAAAACAAAATAAATAAAAATCAAATTAATTAAAGTTATTAAAAATAAACAAACAAAACACAAACAAAGTAATTAAAATCAAATTAATTAAAAAAAAAAAAAAAAAAAAAAAAAAAAACATTAAAATTACGTAACTAGGTCAAAAATTAATTAAAATTTAAAAAACCCATTAAACCTAATTAAAAAACCCATTAAAATTACGTAACTAGGTCATGGAGTATTTTACTATATGTCTTTGCGCCACCCTAGGGAGTATTTTGCTATATCTCATTGTTCCTGCGGCCACGAGTATTTTGCTATATAACCTTTGCGCCGCCCAAATTCGCTCCAAAAGGGACCTAATATACTACTACCATGTAGGGGTGGGGAGGTAGGGGGAGCGTTTGCAGCTTGTTTTCTAACGGCTCGAAGAAGAGAATTATATATATAGAAGATTATCAAACCCAGTAGCGTAGCGAGGGGGGGGGGGCGGGACATATGTCCCCGGGCGCCGAGCTTAGGGGGCGCCAAAATGGTTGGAAAAGTAAATTGAAAGGTTGAGGGGGGTGCAAATTGAAAGTTTGAGGGAGGGGGGGGGAGGGTGCAAATCAAAATTTCGAGGGGATGTGAGGGGGGGGGGATGCAAATCAAAATCTCGAGGGGGGGGTTGCAATGTTTGTCCCCGGGCCGGGAAGGGTCGCTACGCCTCTGATCAAACCCCTAAGGGAAACTACTCTAATCCTACACTAATATTTTAAACAATGTCCCTAATAAACGTAACGTATCTTATCAAACAGGAAGCTACTTAAATGGCGCCCCCAGACATTCCTGATTACAAACTTGACATTTTATTACCCAACACTAAAAACACCCTAACATCCCAATCTACCGTCATTATACTTAAGGAATTCCTGACTGTAAATTGACATGTTATTACGACTACCCATTTAACACTATTTATAGCCCCCCTAATAGTTGCTTATTGTGGTGCACTGTGGGATATCCCACCGGGGACAAACCATAGTTTATTTTAGGCCTAAGATGTAAACTAGACATTTTGTATTAGATCTTTGTGTAATGTAAACTATCTAAAATAAAGAAAATAAATGTCAGAAAGAAGTATTACTTTTGCGAAAGTGTACCAGTCCTCGCAAGCCGATGGTTAAAAGTGTAATACTAAAGCGAACATGCAAGGCAATCTGACGCTGTAAATTACATGTCTGGGGCGAAAAAAAGAAAAAAAGGGAAAAAAAATCTCTTTTTGTGGGTGTGGGGGTGCAAGTATCCTCCGAGGCCCATCTACCCCCTCCCCCGATCAAAATAGAAGTTATATAGAAAATATATAATTAAACCGATGCCCCCCCCACTCCCACCCCCCCCCCCCCCACCCCCCACCGTAGAAAAAATGCCTGAAAGAAACAAGGGGTCAAATTATAGGAGTCTGGGCGAAGAAGAAAAAATATTTTTAAAAAAAAGACATCTACTAGAGTCACAACGGTTCCGAAACCGCAACCACTGGCGTCAACTGTCAAATTCTCCACGAGTTCACATACACATTTGTCACAATTTAGAACTTTGTATTTATTTGAGACTTGTTGACGACTAGCCTAGTGCCCAGTGTTTCTTCCAGACTTTTCTCCTGGGGGGGGGCACTTGATATTTTCTGGGGGGGGGGGGGGGGGGGGCGGACTAAATTTTCCGGTGGGGATGGGGGCGGACACTGGTTAAAGTATATATTTTCTATATAAATTCCATTTCGTTCGGGTGGGGGAGGGGGGGGGGCGATAGACTTTCCGCCCTCCCCCCCCCCCCCACTAAGAGATGCCTGGAAGAAACACTGCTAGTGCCCTGAGTCCACGAACAACACCCTAACACCACCAACCTAACACTTATTATTGTATATATCGCGTCCTGTCGTGGATTGAAAAGGATGAATTATACCATAACACGTACATAGACATGAGAAGTTAGGAAAGAGGGTGGTGGTGGTGGGATGGTATTTTTAAATCACCATGTCACGTGACCTCATTTCTTCTAATCCCCCCCCCTCTCCCTCCAGGTGGCGCAGCAGTACCCCCAGTTCAACTCCAGCAGCCAGGAGCCGTGTGAGCAGAACATGAGCGACGACAGGAACAACTCCACGGGGAAGAAGGTGAGTAGGTCAAGGTCGAACTAGCTTGGGTCAAGGTCGAACTGAGTCAGAAATAATTGGAGAAATGGGTGTGTGACTATCAAAACTTTCCTGTTGCGCGGATAACTCACGCACACCGAAAATACAAAAAAATACATACTGGAGAAATTATGGGATATTTTCTAGGTGCTAATTCAACATCAGAAAAAGGTTACGAGAATCGCACACTGTCCGGTGGACAGTCAGCAAGACCAGCTGTGAGAGCGAGCAGGTGTCTACAATGTTTACCTACCTGTTTGACCTCTCTACCATGACCCCCTTCTGACCTACCTTGACCCCTAACTTCTCTGACCTCTCTAGCATGACCTTCTGCAAATCGCCTATGTCTCTATATCATGACCTCTAACTATCCTCTGACCTACCACGACCTCCCAGCATCTGACTTACCTTGAACTCTCACTAGCATAACCTATAATGACCTTCTCCTAGCATTTGACCTAACGACCTATCATGACCGTTTCCTAGAATCTGCCTTACTTTGCACTCACTAACATAACCTATCAGGACACTTTCCTAGCTTCTGACCTACCTTGACCTAACGACCTACTATGACCATTTAGCATCTGACCTTCCTTGACCATTCTCTAACCTCACTAACGTATATACCATGATCTCTTGCTAACCTCTAATTTACCTATGACCTACCCCGACCTACTAACCTATAACTTACCTTGACCTCTCTGACCAAACTAACCTCTTTACCATGACCCCCCTTCTAACCTCTCACTTACCTTGACCTCTCTGACCAAACTAACCTCTTTACCATGACCCCCCTTCTAACCTCTCACTTACCTTGACCTCTCTGACCAAACTAACCTCTTTACCATGACCCCCCTTCTAACCTCTCACTTACCTTGACCTCTCTGACCAAACTAACCTCTTTACCATGACCCCCCTTCTAACCTCTCACTTACCTTGACCTCTCTGACCAAACTAACCTCTTTACCATGACCCCCCTTCTAACCTCTCACTTACCTTGACCTCTCTGACCAAACTAACCTCTTTACCATGACCCCCCTTCTAACCTCTCACTTCTCTTGACCTCTCTGACCAAACTAACCTCTTTACCATGACCCCCCTTCTAACCTCTCACTTACCTTGACCTCTCTGACCAAACTAACCTCTTTACCATGACCCCCTTCTAACCTCTCACTTACCTTGACCTCTCTGACCAAACTAACCTCTTTACGATGACCCCCTTCTAACCTCTCACTTACCTTGACCTCTCTGACCTACTAACCTCATTACCACGACCTTCTAACCTCTCACTGACCTTGACCTCTGCTACCCTGCCAGATCCAGGAGGAGATCCTGCGAGAGGTGTCGACCATCGAGCTGTACCTGTACCTGACCAGCTTCCTCTTGGCCTCCCTGCCCATCCTGGTGCTGGGGCCTCTGACCGACAGGTATGGCAGGAAGGTCGGGCTGGTGTTTCCGGTGAGTCTTGGGTGTCATTGTCAGTGTGGTTCTGTCTGTGTGTCAGTGGCTCATAATAATTTGACATCAAATTATGTAGAAGACACTTTTGATCTTTTTAAATAATTTTTATTTATAAAATGTGTCTGCTATTAAGGAAGATTAGTCTGATGAATAAATTAACGGCGCTGAGAACTCTGGAGAGCTGTATCGGCTGCCCATACTCCAGCAAATGTGACGGGGGGCTAATGACACGAGCTCTTACTATCAAGGGCAAAAACGCTACTGACCATGTTCTTTTTAGGCCATCGCTCAACCAGTGCAGTTTCTTCCAGGCATCTCCCCCCCCCCGAATGAAGTACCACCCCTGCCCCCCCCCCCCGCCATCCATCGCTCAACCAGTGCAGTTTCTTCCAGGCATCTTCCCCCCCCCCCCCCCGAATGAAGTACCATACCTGCCCCCCCCCCCGCCATCCATCGCCCAACCAGTGCAGAGTTTATTCCAGGATCCCCCCCCCAAAACCTACCCCCCCCCCCCCCCCCGAAGAGAGTCTACCGCTCCTCCCCCCCCCCCCCTACGAACAAAATAAAATGTACATAGAAAATATATACTCTATAAGTGCTCGCCCCCCCCCCCTCCCAACCTCGGAAAATTCAAGTGCCCCCCCCCCCCCATCGGAAAAAAATGACTAAAAGAAACACTGAACCAGTGGCGCTCTAATTCTATCCCCACCACGCTGTTGTCTCACAGCATTCAGCTGCTCATCAAGTGGAGGCACGTGCGCTCCCTGTAATCTCAAGACGATGTTTTTACTTCCGTGTTTTGGGCGTAACAAGTTGTTTTTATTTTGTGTTCATTAACGAACAAGAGAACGTAGGACGGTCTGTCATTATTGCACTTTAGTTACGGCTCAGCTATTGCTACTTTGAAAGTCTCGAGTCGATACAACATCCCTGAGTCTACTCAGCTATGATGGGTACCTGAATCAGGTTAGGGAAAATAAAGGCGGCTGGGTATAGTTGTGACAACACTATCCCATTACATGCCAAGGTCACTTAAACAGATTAACTCTACTTCATCTGCCTACACGCGTTTATAAAAACGAGTAAGGAAAGAATTTTACTCACAGGGCGATGGCTGGGTGTTAAGAGTCCCCTCTCACTGTTTAGCACAGGGGACAAGGACAGATCGGAAATCTAGAACAGTCGGTTAATTACAGAACAATCATTGTTTAACTACTAATAACCGCTTTAAGAGAAGCGCCAATTTATTTCCGCATAGGTTATACTTCTCCATATTTATTTCCGCATAGGTTATACTGCTCCACATTTATTTCCGCATAGGTTATACTGCTCCACATTTATTTCCGCATAGGTTATACTGCTCCACATTTATTTCCGCATAGGTTATACTGCTCCACATTTATTTCCGCATAGGTTATACTGCTCCACATTTATTTCCGCATAGGTTATACTGCTCCATATTTATTTCCGCATAGGTTATACTGCTCCACATTTATTTCCGCATAGGTTATACTGCTCCACAGTTATTTCCGCATAGGTTATACTGCTTCGCCACTATCTTCCACTTCATCGTGTCTGCTGTCTTCTTTCTTCCATGTCCGAGAATCCAAGCTGTCTTAGGTCTGTCTCCACATCATCTACACATCTGAAGAGTTTCTTTCAGGCATCTCTCCTGGGGACCATTAACCCCCCTCCCCACCCCCGTAATTCCATAATAATATATATAGTTTATAATGAAAAAAAAAAACTTTAAACAGTGTTCCCCTCCCCCGGAAATTTTAAGTTCACCCCCCCCCCCCGAAGTTTACCCTCCTCTCCCCCCCCCCCCCCCCCCCCCCCCATCCGTACCTGAAAGGAAACCTGCACATCTGAGTCTATCCCGCTTTCACAATATAATGTTTATAAACAAATGTTTTTTTACACCACGTTTTGGATGGATCCGAACCTCGATCCTCAGATTGTCGGCACGCTGCTGAAAGAGATTGTCTACCTTGTCGTCATCTCCCAAAAGTTACCGCCCCTGTGGCTGCTGGTCGGTCACGTGATGGAGGCCTGCGGCGGAAGTTTTGCCGCCATGTTGTCCTCCATGTTCAGTATCGTGTCCGACATCTCCCCGCCAGGTCGGCGGAGGTCGTTGCACATCACCTGCATGGAGGCCCTGCAGACGATTGCAACTTCGGCAGGTGAGTGACAGGGTCTGCCTGTATGATCAGGTAAGCGACAGAGAATACCTGGGGAAGGACGAAAACTAAACAGAAAACCACTGTCTCCTAATTAGTTGCTTCTTTTGTTAGACGCCGAAAACATAATTAATTAATGAGAGAAAGTTCCACTACTTAAATAAAATAGCTTTTTGTTGTATATTATTAAGAGCATCCAGTAACCCTTTGCTTGTAATCGATACCGAAATTTCCGTATCGATGAGGTATCGATTCCGAGCAGTACTCACCTGAAAAAAAAAGTTGTATTAAAAAGTATGAATTATCTATTATACTCTGCAGCTCAAATCGCCATTGGTCACTGGATCAAGGTCAGCTATTTTTACCCCGTGGTGTGCTCGGTGGCCGTCAACTTCCTGTGTCTTCTGCTGGTGCTCGTGTTTCTGCCGGAAACAGCCGAGACTACCCGATTGGTTGCTCCGACAGACACACGCTTAGAGCCGGGGTGTTGCCGTCGTATCTGTGTGGGATTCTGTAGTGGCGCCAAGTCTTCCCTCCAAATGGTTAGTAGCACACTATCTCAACCATATACATATATACAGTATTTCTTCTAGGCATCTGTTGGGGGGGGGGGGGGAGGTGGGGGGTGCTGCACCCCCCACCCCCCCGAACAGAGTCTATCCCCCCCCCCCCTGAACTTTTAACAGTGTCCGCCCCCCCCCCCCCCCCCCCCCCACCTCTCGAAAATTTCTAGTGCCCTCCCGGAGGAAAAAGTCTGGAAGAAACACTGCATATATATATATATATATATATATATATATATATATATATATATATATATATATATATATATATATATATATATATAGACATGTATATATGTATCTATATACATGTGTATATGTAGGATATATAGGCCTATATAAGTATGATATCTGTTGTATGACATCTGTAGTGTGACATCTGTATAATGACATCTGTTGTATGACATCTATAGTATGACATATGTTGTATGGCATCCGTTGAATGACATCTGTTGTATGACATCGGTTATATGACATCTGTTGTATAATATCCGTCGCATGACACGTTGTTTGACATATGTTGTACGACATGTTGTATGACATCTGCTGTACGACATCTATTGTATGACACCTGTTTTATGACATTTGTTGTATGGCATATGTTTATCACATCTGCTGTATGAAATCTGTTGCATGGCATTTGTTGTATTACATCTGTTGTACGACACCGTCCATCATCTGTCATCCAACAGATCAAACAAAGCCTCATGCTGTACGTCAAAGACGTGCGAGGAAAACGTCTGGTGCTGAAGCGACGTCTGGTCTTTGTGACCTTCATCTTGACAGTGGCCGTGAACTTTTCCAAGCCAGGGGTTCAGGTAAGGACAGAGTGGGTGGCCGTGTAACAGGTGTAACAGGTGCATCACTCAGCACATCATCACCATTGTTACACACAGCACATCATCACCATCATTACACAGCACATCATCACCATTGTTACACACATCATCACCAGTGTTACACACAGCACATCATCACCATTTTTACACACATCATCACCATTGTTACGCACACACACATCATCACCAGTGTTACACACACATCATCACCATTGTTACACATACACATCATCACCATTGTTACACACATCATCACCATTGTTACACACACACATCATCACCATTGTTACACATACACATCATCACCATTGTTACACACATCATCACCATTGTTACACACACACATCATCACCAGTGTTACACACACATCATCACCATTGTTACACACACATCATCACCATTGTTACACACAGCACATCATCACCATTGTTACACACACATCATCATCACCATTGTTACACAGCACATCAGCACCATTGTTACACACACACACATCATCACCATTGTTACACATACACATCATCACCATTGTTACACACATCATCACCATTGTTACACACACACATCATCACCAGTGTTACACACACATCATCACCATTGTTACACACACATCATCACCATTGTTACACACAGCACATCATCACCATTGTTACACACACATCATCATCACCATTGTTACACACACATCATCACCATTGTTACACACACATCATCACCATTGTTACACACAGCACATCATCACCATTGTTACACACACATCATCATCACCATTGTTACACACAGCACACATCATCACTATTGTTACACACACACACATCATCACTATTGTTATACACACACACATCATCACAATTGTTACACAGCACATCTACATCGTTGTTACACACATGCACACCATCACCATCATTGCACATACACATCATCACCATAGTTACAGCACATACAAACAATCACCACCCTCCTACAACTGGGCATGTTTGCAACGTCATTACAGCATCACCATCTTTACAATCCAGTAAATCTACAACATTTACACCATAGACAGAGTCATCATTTTTACAATTCACACCATCCTCACAACACAACACTGACTCAATCTTCCACAGCAACACAGTAACAAATGTACACACATCTCAATCAACTCATTCATTAAACTGACTTTTACCTCAACACCATACTCAATAAAACCTGCATGAGCCATAGAACTGGTTGGTGACCTACTTACTAGCCCTATTACTAAAATTTAGCCTCGTTTTCATTAGGGTCGTCACAACCTAATCCAAAACAAACGATCGGAAATGACGTCACCCCCACTATGCTAACCTTCACACAGTAAACACATACACAAACAAATGCTTTGAGTAGATAACAACAGTGTCATTGAAAGGTCAACAAAACACTGACACAACACGTTCTTCCTGTCTTAGCACAGTGTGTTGAGACAGTGATAGTGAGCATGCTGTAACGGAAGTGTGTAGTGTGTTGACACACTGATAGTCAGAGCATGATGGGACGGAAGTGTGTAGTGTATTGACATAGTGATGGTTAGAGCATGCTGGGATAGACGTGTTGGGATGTAGCACATAAGGTTATACCGTCAGTGCAAGAACTCACACTGCATGACGCTTACAATGTTAGCATTTGTAGTATACAGTACGAACGCCAGCAAAGCATACAACGTTAACTATACACCATAAAGCAGACACAATAAAGCAGACACTACGAAGCAGACACCATGAAGCCAGAGTTTCTTTCAGGCATCTCTTCGAGATGGATTTTATATAAACATAAACATACACTTTTACTAGTGTCCGCCCCCCCCCCCCCCTGAAAAATGTTGACCACCCCCCCCCCGGAGAAAAGCATTCATTATGAGATACTCAGTATAAAACATACACTATGAAGAATACACCATGAAACATACACTACGCAGCATACACCATTACTTACAAGAGGCATACGACATGAAGCATACATCATCAAGCTGACATCATACACTTGTACTTACATGAAGCATACATCATGAAGCTTACAGCATACACCACTACTACATGAATCACGTGTTAAAACATACACCTGCCTCTCCCCACAGAAGCTGTACCTGATGAAATACAAACACTATTACTACATGAATCACATGTTAAAACATACACCTGCCTCTCTCCCCACAGAACCTGTACATGATAAAATACAAACACTATTACTACATTAAACACACGTACCCGCCCCTCTCTCCCCCACAGAACCTGTACCTGATGAAATACCCCCTGTGCTGGGGGGCCACCAAGCTGCTCACCTACAACGGGGCCACCCTCCTGTGCAACTGGGTGGCCATCCTGGCCTTGTTGGCCATCCTGCAGCGGCTGTTCAATATGGCGGACAGGCAGGCGGCTGTTCTTGGCGTCATCTCCAGCATGACAGCCTGCGTGTTCATGTCAGTAGCGGTCAATGACACCATGGTGTATGAAGGTCAGGGTCGTGTCAGAGAGATCAGTGTGGTGTCAGGGTCAGTGTGGTAGAGTGTTGTGAAAGTCAAGGTCAGTGTGGTAGTGTTGTGAATGTCAAGGTTAGTGTGGTAGAGTGATTGGAAGGTCAAGGTTAGTGTGGTAGTGTTGTGAAGGTCAAGGTTAGTGTGGTAGCGCGTTGTGAAGGTCAAGGTTAGTGTGGTAGAGTGTTGTGAAGGTCAAGGTTACTGTGGTAGAGTGGTGTGAAGGTCGGGGTCAGTGTGGTAGAAAGGTGTGAAGGTCAGGATCAGTGTGGTAGTATGGTGTGAAGGTCAGGGTCAGTGTGGTGGAGTGGTGTGAAGGTCATGTTCAGTGTGGTAGAGTGGTGTGAAGGTCAAGTTCAGTGTGGTAGAGTGGTGTGAAGGTCAGGGTCAGTGTGGTAGAGTGGTGGGACGGTCAGGGTCAGTGTGGTAGAGTGGTGTGAAGGTCGGGGTCAGTGTGGTAGAGTGGTGTGAAGGTCAGGGTCAGTGTGGTAGAGTGGTGTGAAGGTCAGGGTCGTTGTGGTACAGTGGTGTGAAGTTCAGGGTCAGTGTGGTAGAGTGGTGGGACGGTCAGGGTCAGTGTGGTAGAGTGGTGTGAAGGTCAGGGTCAGTGTGGTAGTATGGTGTGAAGGTCAGGGTCAGTGTGGTGGAGTGGTGTGAAGGTCATGTTCAGTGTGGTAGAGTGGTGTGAAGGTCAAGTTCAGTGTGGTAGAGTGGTGTGAAGGTCAGGGTCAGTGTGGTAGAGTGGTGGGACGGTCAGGGTCAGTGTGGTAGAGTGGTGTGAAGGTCGGGGTCAGTGTGGTAGAGTGGTGTGAAGGTCAGGGTCAGTGTGGTAGAGTGGTGTGAAGGTCAGGGTCGTTGTGGTACAGTGGTGTGAAGTTCAGGGTCAGTGTGGTAGAGTGGTGGGACGGTCAGGGTCAGTGTGGTAGAGTGGTGTGAAGGTCAGGGTCAGTGTGGTAGAGTGGTGGGACGGTCAGGGTCAGTGTGGTAGAGTGTTGCGAAGGTCAGGGTCAGTGTGGTAGAGTAGTGCGAAGGTCAGGGTCAGTGTGGTAGAGTGGTGTGAAGGTCAGGGTCAGTGTGGTAGAGTGGTGTGAAGGTCAGGGTCAGTGCGGTGAAATGGTGTTGATGTCAGGGTCAGTGTGATGGTGTTGAACAATTGGTTTGGGCGGTAGCTTGGAATAAAGGTCAGAATCAGCGAGATAAGGTAGAATATAGGTCAGGTCAGTGTAATAGAGTACAATGTATGTCGAGGTCAGTGGGATAGCTAAGAATGTAGGTCACGCTCTGTGTGCTAGCGTATCGAATGTAGGTCAAGGTCAGAGTGATAACGTGAAATGTAGTTCACTGTCAGTGAAATGGCGAAATATACAGGTCAGCGTTATAGTTTTATGCGAAGGTCAATTTTAAAAATATGCTAAATAGTTCCTCATCAAATGTCAGTTAAAATGTGTCTGTGTATTAGTTAACAAAAAGATGATTAAAAATCCAACATGTTAATTTTTTTTTTTCTATTCCAATATCCTTCCCCTCCCTCAGTCGCCGTCCTGAGTGTCATGACAAGGGCGATAATCCCCATGCTGCGGTCCGTGATGACAACTCTGGTGGATGAGCGGGCACAAGGTCAGTGATAATCACGTGATACAGTCACGTGATGCTTAAACCCTCCGGGGCTTATTTTATCAGTGGTGTTAGGGGAAGGGGGGGGGGGGGTGGAGCGTAATTACTCTTATTTAAAATTCTAAATCAGGTTTATACAGATTCCGCCGCGTCCAATGGTACGAAAATAACTGTCATTACAGCTCCTACTGGATTTTAAAAAAAATGTTAATGAAGAAATCAAAGGCTGTTTTTCCCGAGATAAAATGGTTAATTAAAACAGCACACATAGGGGAGGTAATCGCAGTTTTATGATTCTTTCCTATTTTATAATAGTTACCTCCCTTAGCATAAACTCTTAGTCTATTAGTATTATCTAGTGTTCAGGCTTTATAATATTGCTGCATACTTTATTTGGAAATACATGTTTAAAATAAATCCGGAGCGATCTGCACTAAACTTTCTCGAATATTCTTATATAACACTACGGGGAATAAGCCATTTTTATTTACTTGAACTTTTTAAAATAGAATAAAATCTCGTAGAAAAAAGAATTGCACACCAAGTGAACGCCAAACAAAATGTGAAATAGTACTCAAGTTATAGGCTTTTGAAAAATTGAAAGTAGAAAAAGTTCCACTTCCGATAAACGAAAATCGCTCAAAAGTTGATACGGATCTACGATTTTTATATAATACTTATATGTGAAATTTTATCAACCCAGCTGTAACGGTACACAAATTATCGTGTTTACACACACGCATACAGACACACACAGACATACGAACAAGATTGCAAAACTATGGGGGGGGGGGGGGGTTCGACTCTGGGAGGGGTTAAAACGTCGAGATTTGCAAAAATCTCGATTTTTTTTTTTTTTTTTTTTTTTTTTTTTTTTTGTGCACGATTACAAGACTTTCTCTATACTTCGTATATACGAGAAAGTAAAAAGTCACTATAACATTTTTCAAAATTCATCAATTTTCTATTCAATGAATCTTCATCCTATCACGTGACCAGGCACGGTGTATGCCGGGATGGGTTGCATCGAAACCATCGGCGCCTCCGTGTTCGGAACCGCCGCCAACCGGATCTTCTACGCCAGCCTGGCGACCTGGCCCGGCCTCGTCTTCGTGCTGTTCGCCATCGTCATGCTGGTGGCATTGACCCTGCTCATGTAAGTGGTTGGCTGGGAGGGTTTGGGGTCGTAGGTCAGTGAGGTGGTGACGTATGGGTGATAGGTAGTTCGGTATAGGGGTTCTAAGGTTCTTAGCAAATACACACTGTGAAAGAGAGATAGAGAGTGTGTGGGCGAGAGAGAGAATGTTTGTGTGAGAGAGAGAGTGTCAGTGTGTGTGTGAGAAAGAGAGTGTTTGTGAGAGAGAGTGAGAGTGATTGAGAGAGTGTGTGTGAGAGAGATAGTGCGTGTGTGTGAAAAGGAGAGTGTATGTGAGTGTGTGTGAGAGAGAGAGAGTGTGTGAGTGTGTGTGAGAGAGAGATAGTGAGTGTGAGAGAGAGTGTTTGAGAGAGTGTATGTGTGTGAGTGTGTGTGTGTGAGAGAGAGAGAGAGTGTGTGTGTGTGAGGGATAGTGTGTGTGTGAGAGAGAGAGGGTGTGCTTGAGAGAGAGAGAGAGTGCGTGAGAGAGTGTTTAAGAGTGTGTGTGTGTGTGAGAGAGTGTGTGAGAGTGTGTGAGAAGAGATTGTGGGTGTGGGTGTGTGTAAATATTTATACATAAACAGGCCCATTTATATATATTTTTTTAAGTAACTGTATGTTGTATATATATTCAACCGTGTATATCTTAGCTTATGTTACATCGATAAATAAAGATGTCTATGTATAAATACCTATATATATATATATATATATATATATATATATATATATATATATATATATATATATATATATATATATATATATATATATATATATATATATATATATATATATATAACCTTACATATTTGAATGCATGTCTTCTATGGTTTGCCTGATATTTTGTCGGTGGTTCCAGAATTCTAAACGTCCTCTACTCACGAGAGGAAGTCAGACGACCTCAGCACCAGACGTACGAGCCGATCAACGGCAGCAATAGCATAAATCGGGAAGCGGAAGTCGACCCTTCGTGGTGACGTCATTCGCTTGAATAAAAACATTGGACTGGCCAGATTTTCTTCTCAAGACAGCCAAAATATTAACCTGTGGCGTTCGTTACACTGCCATTTTTTAAGCCATATACGCCGCTTGTATAATCCATATAAGAAATCACATTTTAGTGACATTATCTTTGTCTTTCGTATTTTAAATATATTGGACAGGATTCCTTACAACACAATTAAGTATTACGTGTCAGCTTGTTATGCGCCATATAGGCAGTGGAATCCAATATAAGCCTGCTTTTCTTTTTGGATTTGCTCCCATAGCTTTTGTCAAATGAACAACAAACTACAAGGCAACAGTTGTTTGAACTCGGATTTGTCCCACCTAGTCCATGGCTATTGTAGGTTTGAACTCGGATTTGTCCCACCTAGTCCATGGCTATTGTATGTTTGAACTCGGATTTGTCTCACCTAGTCCATGGCTATTGTAGGTTTGAACTCGGATTTGTCCCACCTAGTCCATCGCTATTGTAGGTTTGAACTCGGATTTGTCCCACCTAGTCCATCGCTATTGTAGGTTTGAACTCGGATTTGTCTCACCTAGTCCATGGCTATTGTAGGTTTGATCTCGGGACATATTGGTTGGGCAGCAATAGCTTTACCGACCCGACCACACCGACCCTTTACTGACATTAAAAATTATATATTTCACTGGGTCTGAAACTTATTAATGTCAGCATTTTCCCATTTGACCCAAAAGGATTTTTGTAAATATATGAAATAAACCGGGAGTGATCTCCCCTAAACTTTCTCGAATATTTTTATATAAAATAACAGGGGATGGGAACTCGGGCTATAGACATGATTTTTAATCCATTTTAAATACTTAAAGTTTTAAAAATAGAATAAAATCTCGTAGACAAATTAATTGCACACCAAGTGAACGCGAAATAAAAAAGCGCATAATAGTGCGCAATATTATTAGTACTTTTAAAATTTACATTAGATTTTTGAGAAATCGGAAGTAGCGTAAATTACTACTTCCGGTCAACGGAAATTACTCAAAATTTAACAGAAGGTAGAGAATTAGATCTTTTACTTACATGTGAAATTTCATTTATCTATCTGAAATAGTACTCAAGTTATAGGCTTTTGAAAAATTCAAAGTAGAAAAAGTACCACTTCCGGTTATCGGAAATCGCTCAAAAGTTGATACGGATCTACGATTTTGATAAAATACTTATATATGAAATTTCATCAACCTAGCAGTAACGGTACTCAAGTTATCGTGTTTACACACGGACACACAGACAGACACACACACACACACAGACATACGGACAAGATTGCAAAATTATGTTTTTCCGTATCAGTGAGGTGTAAAACGTCGAGATTTGTAAAAATCTCGATTTTTTTTTTTGCACGATTACAATACTTTCTCTATACTTCGTATATACGAGAAAGTAAAAAATGTGATGTATTATTTGATATTACTCAAAAGTCTGTAAGCATAGTTTCTTGAACAGAATATGTATTGTAAATACGCGGTTTCCAAATCGGGGGGGGGGGGGGGAGCCTTTTTGGGGTGGTGAGGACTAATCGATGTAAAAAATTGAACAGAAATTTACAATTTATATAAAAAAAAAACTTGCAGAGTTTCTTCCAGGCTTCTCTGCCTCCGACCCCCCCCCCCCCCCCCCCCCCCCCGAAAATATCAAATTCCCCCCCCCCCCCCCCTCCCCAGAGAAAAAAGTCTGGAAGAAACACTGTTTGTATATATCAAGATGTAAATACTTTTGTCTTCAAAACGACATTGTGTCTCGATGTAAATTAAAATAATTTTTGTTTCGGTGATTCCGTGATCTGATTTTTTAAAATTTTCTTTCTAAAACTGTTTCAAAAGACTGTTCGCGTCTGTTGAATGTAGACCAATAACGCTTACTAGAGCTATGTTTATACTAAGTATAGATACTTAGATAAGATACATATATTATTGTATTGTTTAGGGTTTTGTCAGCAACTTTATATTTTTTTCTGAGACGCAAAGATTATTTTTGTTCTTTCTCAAGAAGCGCAAGGCCAAAAGTTTAGGAAAACATTCTGTAAAAAGTGTTGATATTCTTTTGTAAATGATCTGATTATTAAAATTATTTTTATAAGTGAGTCTGATTTGAAATTTTCGTTCTAGTTTATATATAAATTATATGTAGACCTATGCATACATTATCATAATAAACATGCAGTCGTATGTGCACAGATAAAAAATGAAACAGAAAACTCAAACAGCAACCATTTTTAATTCCAACTTTTACTACATGGACAAATTGATTGTGTTGGCCATGGTGTCATTTGACCAGTTAAACCAGCATTGAACGACATCATACATCACAGGCAACCCGCAACCGACAACGTTACGTATATATATATATATATATATATATATATATATATATATATATATATATATATATATATATATATATATATATATATATATATATAAAATCCATATATATATATATATGTTACGGTCAAAGCCCGAAGTCGGCCAATGCTAGGATTGGCCGGCCAATCCGCGCATTGGCCAATATCGCCTCCCATAGGTCGGTCAAAGTCCGAAACTTTGCTTCATTTCGGCCTTTGGCCGGCCAATCCGCAGACTGGCCATTGTGGACCGGCCAAAGTCTGAAATAGCTCTTGATTTCGGCCTTTGGCCGGCCAGTCCCGGCCAGTCCGCGGACTGGCCATGGTGGACCGGCCAAAGTCTTAATTAGAAGATCATGAGCAGTTTTTTGTTTTTTTTTATGCCGGTAGGATCATGAAATTAAGTCTTTATTGATTATTAATTAAAGTAAATGACAGAAACATTCACATTTTTTATTGTACTATAGTCTCAATCAATCATTATTATAATTTGTTACAACAAGTTGAACTTTTATGGCATTTAGAATTACATAGCAGCTTGTTATTTTTACACTTGCAGCGATTTGTTGTGCACTTGGTTGTGCAATTGCAGCGAGTGTAGCCTTGGCCCCCAGTCAATGATTGTGAAGATGCGATGGTTCGTAGTGATTTTTCCTCAGTGCCAACTGACGACAATAAGAGCAGTTTTTCGTGAAGAATTGAAAACTCACTACTAGTATACAGTTGTTTTAGAACACCATGTTCCGTTCCTAATTTGTAGAAACCGCCCTCGACGCTCATGACAACTGCAATCACTCTTCGGGGATCACCGCGACCTCTGTCAATATCTGGAACACGGATGCGTACATTGTCACCCACTTCACCATCTTTAAAGTTTGTATTTGATGTTTTAAGCATCTTAGCACCTTGATTTTGCAAGCCAGTATGAGCTGCTGACCTGTGTTCCATGATGTCTTGTTTGTTGTGACACAATCTGCAGGTAATGTTCCCTTTGTACCCTTCGTCTGTTTCATTGGGTACTCCACATATAGCATGGACATCTTTGCCACAGGATCCACAAGAATGAGCTGCACTACAATGTTTTTCACAAACTATACAGAATCTGTTGGCCACATTATTGTCACGCAACTGGTCTGGACGTTCCGCCACGGCAGCAGATATGTTAGCTGAGGATGTAGTTGCATTTATGGCAACCTCCATTTCTTGTTGGGGAAATTTGGTTTCTGACGCCCACGCCCACGCCATCTCAAGTCGCTTGGACACTATTGTTCAACTTACAAGGAACGCGGCAAAGCCTTTTGAACGTTCCGTCTTGTTGCACGTGGTCGGTGACGCCGACTGTCTTTGATTTTGTTCTTTGATGATTGTCTCACCTCGTCATCATAGAGGAGGCTGTCACATACAGTTGTAGCCCATATATGGAAATCAACATGGATTGATCCATGTCGCCTTGCATATAGAATGCTATACAAACAAGAGCTAAAAATACGTTACTCACAATGAAACCGCACCCAGAATAATGAAAACGCGATCACAACTTAGTCTAGATAGAACATTGGCCAGGACATCCCGGCCAATGCGCGCATTGGCCGGCCAATGTACAAAATACGCTGTCAAGTTTAAGCATTTCGGACTTTGGCCAGTACGTCCCGGCCAGTGCGCGCATTGGCCGGCCAATGTACGAAATACGATCTTAGTTCTAAGTTCTTCGGGCTTTGGCCAAGAGAGCCGGCCAATCCGCGCATTGGCTGGCCAATCCGGGGTTTGGCCGCACTTCGGGCTTTGACCGTAACATATATATATATATTCAAATATATATATATATATATATATATATATATATATATATATATATATATATATATATATATATATATATATATATATATTATATGTATATATTCATATATATATATATATATATATATATATATATATATATATATATATATATATATATATATATATATATATATATATATATAATCCATATATATATATATATATATATATATATATTCAAATATATATATATATATATTATTATATTATTATTATATGTATATATTCATATATATATATATATATATATATATATATATATATATATATATATATATATATATATATATATATATATATATATATATATATATATATATATATATATATATATATATATATATATATATATATATATATATATATATATAAACAGAGAGAGAGAGAGAGAGCGCTCATGATTTGGAGTATGCTAGACCCACTACTCCTGGTTGTAACATGATTTAATTAATGAAATGCACATATAATTACAAATCAACAATTAGTATAGACATCTTTTTCATTAAATAAAACACGCCTTAAAAATGTTAACATTTATTGAAAAACACAACAAACGTGATATTGATCTCAGTGTAGTCGAACATTCAAATTCGTATTCGATTACTCTCAATGGACGTCTCGTATGGTATTGCTGTTATTAGATATAACTGTCAATATTTAACGGCGGTACTTTTCCGTAAGCGGTACCACCCTATTAGTTGTTTGGGTTAGGTGTATTGCTCGCGTTGGGGATGAGGTATCGATGTACGATTGTATTAATTCGTATTCGATTACACCCGATGGACGTTTTTTATGTATTGCTGTTAAAACATGAAATATTACTTTCAGTAATTAACGGTGGTATTGCTTACTCAAGGGATGGAGTATCGAAATAAGATAATCGCCGATGCTATTAAAGTAGGGTACGGCTAACCGAAAGGTATAGTAACAACTACGTATAAATAACACTATACACGTACAAGTAACGTAATATACGTATCAATAACACCAGACAACATATAAATAAATAACACCATGCACCATAATAACATACATGATAAACTCCTGACATACATCATCATATTTTCCTGTTCATGCCCTATGATATGTGGGGCAGATGAAGTAGAGTTCATCTGTTTTGAATACCTCGATCTACAGAACATACATTTACTGGCAATAGTTATATTTCGCTTACAGGAAAATCACTCTCACTACAACACCATTCAATATAACACCACTCACCGTGATATGATACCACACACCTTAACACCACATAATAAATCTGTTACAATCATGGACAAGCAGAAAACGAGGCTGTTGTTGAATACACCATACACCTACACACCATGTAGGTTTACCTGAACACCATATAGGCTTACCTCAACACCATACACCATAACACCCCACTAGACCAAACACTTGCATCAATGGCTGATCATACCCCAGTTAACACCATAACACACCATAACACCCCACTAGACCAAACACTTGCATCAATGGCTGATCATACCCAAGTTAACACCATAACACCATACACCATAACACCCCAGTAGACCAAACACTTGCATCAATGGCTGATCATACCCAAGTTAACACCATAACACCATACACCATAACACCCCACTAGACCAAACACTTGCATCAATGGCTGATCATACCCCAGTTAACACCATAACACACCATAACACCCCACTAGACCAAACACTTGCATCAATGGCTGATCATACCCCAGTTAACACCATAACACACCATAACACCCCACTAGACCAAACACTTGCATCAATGGCTGATCATACCCAAGTTAACACCATAACACCATACACCATAACACCCCAGTAGACCAAACACTTGCATCAATGGCTGATCATACCCAAGCAAACACCATAACACCATACACCAAAACACCATAGGCCAAAATATTTCATATCATGACACCAAGTGTCACCGAGAACAGCTGCTGTACAAAACACCATTCACCCTGACACCATACACTATCTTTAAACACCACATGCAGACCAGAATTAACGCCAAAATCTAGCATGTTCTAGAACATCTAGTGATGGAAATCGTCCCTGGCTATGACGATTTGAGAATCCTTGCATCCACTGGATAATGACACTGAGCCTGGATCAATTGGCCGAAAGCCGATCGCCCAAAGGCCGATTGTCTTATATCCACTTTCCTGATTGCCGATCTCCATAAAACCATTTGCTTCAGGCCGATTGCCAAAATGTTATTGATCAAAGGCCGATTACAAATGTTATTGATCAAAGGCCGATTACAAATGTTATTGATCAAAGGCCGATTACAAATGTTATTAATCAAAGGCCGATTTCGAAAAAGATTATTTGCTAAGAACGGCAATGTGCAGTCTTTTGGGAAATTGGATTTCCGTTAATAGTTCTATAAGAAAAGGCCTTCAACCAATCGGCCTTTAGTCAATAGGCTAATGTCCAATAGACTTTTAGACAATCGGTATCCGTGAATTCGGCCTTTGAGTATTGGCATTTCGGTAATTTGCCTTTACTACTCTCCTTCGCCCTTTGAGCGGTCGACTTTTTGCAATCGGTATTAGTCTTAGTGTAATTGTTATTAGTGTAATCGGCCTTTTATTATACCCCTTCCGCACAATCGGCCTTAGAGCAAGCCATCTTTCGCAATCGGCATTCAGGTCATCGGTCTTTAGGAAATCGATTTTCTGACCAATATCCGGCACACCGTGTCGCCCTTTATTACACTCAGCCTCTAACTAAGTGTCTACGTGATTGGAATTCAATGGAATTTTTTTTTGTTAGTCCATCTGCCCGACTGTAGCGTTCAAATGTTGCTTCAGTCGATCGACATGAATTCCACTGCGAACACAAACACCCAGAAAACACAACTTCGTCTTCTAAAACACACGTCAACGCGAACATTTTCATCCGCCATCTTGGTGAAACTCATGAAGTTAAATCATATTTCTCGTTGCTATAAAATTTAGAAACCGTTTTTGTTGTTTTTTAGTTTTTTTGTTGTTTTTTTCTAACATTCACTCTTCCCATGAGTTCGAATCCCAGAGAGAATTATACGGCTGTTAGTTCGTCGCTGTCGTCGACTGGTTTGGTGACGACAACAATGTCCTTCTGACCGAGCACCTGTCAAAGGAGAAGGGGGGGAGAGAAAAAAACAAAACGGATTAGCGCATGACGTCATCCTGTCTGTTACGTCATTATCGTCGACTTGTGACGACGACGATGTCTTTTTGACCTAGCACCTGTCAAAGTGGGGGTGGAAGGGGAGAAAAGAGGAAGAGAAAAAAAAAATGTGGTTAGCTCATGACGTCATCGCTGTGACACAGGTAAATACTCGCGTGACGTCACGAGATAAATACTCGCGTGACGTCATGAGAAAAATGCTCGCGTGACGTCACGAGTGCCCTTGACAGCTGCGCAGAGGTTTGACTTTGAGGGATGGTGCACATATTGTATACCCAGAATTTCTTCGCCCCTCCCCCCCCCCCCCCTCGAACGAAATAGATTTTATATAAAAAAAAATGTATACTGAGATTCAAGAACTCCTGGGTAACGCCCAATCCAGGGGGGGGGGGGCGTGAGGGGTTTTGTGGGCAACTCATTGTAATGGTCGCCTTGTGAGAGACACACAATTTCCCGGACAATTTATAAAATGTCATGCCCTCCCGACCCCCTCCGTGTTATACGATATGTGCATGATCCTCCAACGTTAGGGTAACGATCGAACAGCATTAAGACCACTGGTGCGCCTGTAGGAAAGGCCAGTTTGACCGGTGGCCGGTCATAAACCCCCTAGACGTAACCACCCCCCCCCCCTGGTCATAAACCCCCTAGACCTCCCTGGACAATTCCCCCCCCCCCCCGATTGAGATTTATATAACGAAATACTAGTGTTAACGAGAACAATACTACGACATGTTTATGTTGGATAGAGGGTTATATCGAGGGGTTCACGTCCAGAGGGTTTATGTCCGGGGGTTTATGACCGGAAACCAGTTTGACCCATGCAATGGACTTTTAGTATTTTCTTTAAGACGGAGAAAATAAAAGTGATGTAAGTGAACAAAATAATAAATGGTTAACTTAAAATAAAAGTAGTGATTTGGGACAACCAAAACTCAATATTGACTTAGTAACTGAGTAAAGACTTTGACTTTTATGAAATTTGAAAAACACACTTCACCATCGGATCCATGTCTTTTTCAGTGCATTAAAAATTTATTTTTAAATGTATTCCAGTTTTATTGTATACATTTTAGTATACAAAATTTGTAAATCAAATATAATAGTAAGTTGATAATTAAGTTTTTAACATAAGTACTACCATACCTATTACATCTACTTCTATCTTTTGTAATTAACTCCACACCTTGCACAAATAAGAATATTTACTTTAATTATACCCCAATCAACATATTGCTATTTCTTAATTATAAACGACATTTATTAAAATTATTTATTACGACAACTTTAAAATGTTTCTCTATTTTTAAAAAAATAGTATATTCGTGCAGTGTTATCGGAAATGCACTTCATCGATAGATATTGCTCTTTTTTTAGAAACTGACCAAAGTATACAACCAACAGCAAGAAAAAGATTGTAGGAATTTTGCTTATATGACCTGAATCTAGTAACCAGGGGCTAATAATACTAATAATCCTAATTCTAACTCGTCCTTGACCTCGTGACCTAGAACTGACCTTGACATAGAACATGCCGTCCCGCTGTTTGCTCTGCTCCTCCTTGGCGACCCGCGCGATGCGGCAGCTCAGGATGATGGCGGCCATACAGACGATGATCTCCGTGCCGGCGGCCGCCAGGGATAGGTAGATCAGGACGTCCTGGGGATAGTGGGGGGGAGGGGGGGTTAAAGTTAAACTGGGATAATGTGGGGTTTAACGTTAAACTGGGATAGGTAGATCAGGACATCCTGGGGATAGTGTGGGGTTTAACTTTAAACTGGGATAGTGTGGGGGTTTAACTTTAAGCTGGGATAGATAGATAAGGACGTCCTGGGGATAATGTGGGGTTTAACGTTAAACTGGGAGAGTGTGGGGTTTGACGTTAAACTAGGGATAGTGTGGGGTTTAACGTTACACTGGGATAGTGTGGGGGTTAACGTTAAACTGCGATAGTGTGGGGGTTTAACGTTAAACTGGGATAGTGTGGGGTTTAACGTTAAACTGGGATAGTATGGGGTTTAACGTAAAGCTGGGATAGTGTGGGGTTTAACGTTAAACTAGGATAGTGTGGGGGTTTAACGTTAAACTGGGATAGTGTGGGGTTTAACGTTAAATCGGAATAGTATGGGGTTTAACGTAAAGCTGGGATAGTGTGGGGTTTAACGTTAAACTAGGATAGTGTGGGGGTTTAACGTTAAACTGGGATAGTGTGGGGTTTAACGTAAAGCTGGGATAGTGTGGGGTTTAACGTTAAACTAGGATAGTGTGGGGGTTTAACGTTAAACTGGGATAGTGTGGGGGTTCGACGTTAAACTGGGATAGTGTGGGGGTTTAACGTTAAATTGGGACAGTTTGTGGGGATAACGTTAAACTATGATAGTGTGGGGTTTTAACGTTACACTGGGATTGTGTGTCGATCAGGATATGCTAGGGATAATATGTGGTTGACGTTAAACTGGGATGCGGTGTGGTTTAACCCAGACTAAGTGTTGTTTAAAGTTGGACGGGGGGGAAAGTTTGGCGTAATATGAAGACTAGCTTCACAGTGCCGGTACACCTGACAACGCATGCCGAAACTTCTAGAACACGTGAGTTACCTTCTTTTCCTTCTGGAAGGTGTGTCCGTCTGTCGTGTGGTTGATGAGCCCCACACGGAGCAGCTGGATACTGACCACAGCCACCACCATGGACACCACGGAGAAGGCGGTGAAGCACATGATCTAAAAATAAACATTTTAATACATTAGAGTTAACGCCCTTGGTCGTCAGACGCACTTGCGCAATGTTTATAGTTCATACAATTTCTTTTTTAAATAGTAACTCATTATAAATAGACGTCAATATTCAATTTAAAAAAAAAAAAAATTTAAAAATAAATGAAGTAATTACAAGTCACAGATTAGGAAATATTATAATAACAAATGTAAACAACTTTTTCAAAGCGATGAAAATAGATAAAGATTTTTATCGAACATCAACTTTCAAGGCTGCCGACTTTTTTTCTTCTTAATTTGACGTTAATGGTTGGTCGGTTAATTAAGAGAGTTAATTAAAGATTAACCAGCTCACCACATATGACGACTTCCGTCTTGCACACCAAATACCCAGGATTCCAGCTACCATAAACTATAGGAATAAATGAATATATACATTCAATAAGTATAGCCTATGATAAGTATATATATATATATATATATATATATATATATATATATATATATATATATATATATATATATATATATATATATATATATATATATATATATATAAAGATTCCTTTTTAGATTTATCGATTCATTGGGAAGTTGGACTAGTTCGTATATTTATGTGTGTGTGCGTGTGTGTATGTGTGCATGTGTGTGTGAGTATGTGACTGTATGAAGATGGTTCATGTGGTTCTGTCACTTCATCCAACGTGTTTCTTACGTTGGGTCCCTTAAACTTAAATCACCCTGGTGTAGCAGTCATCAGACCTAGATCACGTGACACACCCCACTCTTCCCACCCCACCAATGTGAAGATCCGCCCCTGACTGAAATGGCCACACACACTTCATTTCCGACCTTTCCCCCCCCCTCTAATCACGAGCAAAACCTTCGCCCCTGACTTAAATGCCCAGTCCCCCCCCCCCTCCCCAACACGCACACCTCATTTCCGACCACCGGAACCACCCCCTGGCTAAGCTTTTATCTCTGCCTTAAATGACCAGACACACCCCCACCCCACCACACCAGCTATACCTTTCACCCCTGACTCAAATGACCAGAATACCCTCCCCCTCCCCCCACCCCACCAGCTAACCCCCACCCCCGACAGAAAATCCCCAAATAACATCCGCCTCACTCAGGTCCATCTGCCCGAATCACGTGATTAGAAAACTAAACCTACTCGAGACAGGGTAGAGCGGGGGGGGGGGGTAAGATACGACATGGACATGCAGGGGACTGGGGGGGGGGGAGAGGTGAGTGAGTGAAAAAATCTCATTAACGTTTTCAGTCTATTGATTTAGCTGTCACGTGATCACCGTAAACGTCGGTATTAGTTTGGTAGCCGTGAAATGGGATAGATGGATAATGACTAGATGATGTGGATGGTTGAGTGATTGGATGGTGTGGATAGGTGAGTGATTGGATGGTGTGGATAGGTGAGTGATTGGATGGTGTGGATGGTTGAGTGATTGGATGATGTGGATAGGTGAGTGATTGGATGGTGTGGATGGTTGAGTGATTGGATGATGTGGATGGCTGAGTGATTGGGTGATGTGGATGATTGGGTGAGGTGGGTGAAACGCCTGACTCGTCTGTTGCATAATCCCTCAGTGTAATCCCCCCCTCCCCAGAGAGATGTCTGAAAGAAACTGTTGGGAAAAATAAAAGAACCATGGGCAATATCGACTTTAAGACCAGACTGGGCGGCCGAACACGACGTAAAGTCTTGCAAGACATTTTAAATTAGTTTACATAGGATGCCGGCCATTTGCCTAGAAAACTTGATTGTCTGAATTTTGTTGATCCGCCCATACAAAGCCCGAGTTAGAAAAAAGTTGATATCAAGTTTTGATTTGATGGAAGTTTGTTGAAAGTGACTGAAATTTTCATACTTGCATACATTTCTTCTTACTTATATAGTACACATATAGTATGTTTATAATAAGGCATTAATTAAAACAATTACTGTACCAAAGTATTGCTTTTATTATTGCTTTAATAAGGTGTTATGTATTTTCATTTAGAAAACGCATGCTGCTTGTATAAAGGGACCAAAGGTTGTTATTGGAGAAACGATGTATTCAATATCTTCAAAATACTCAATAAAATTATGCGAGGAAGTGGCCTTCAAATTATTTTTGTAGACCTGCTCAAATGTTTGGATGTTTTTTTTTAATCTTTGTTTAGCCTAAGCAGCCAATAACAAAAGCATCAACGTCAGCGACGGAGACATCGATAAATTATGAATATATATATTTATATATATATATGTAACTAGGGTAGTTACCATAATATGGTTAACAACGTATTACAGTCTGATGCAATAGTGCAGATGTTGGGCTGATAACGATCACAAAGCCGCTGCGCAGTTCACAGGCTGACGTAACAGTGCAGATGGTTTATTAATCGGATTGTATGACAGAAGCTGCGCAATTAATATTCTGATGCAACGATTAGAATACGAGTACGAATACGAGTATGAATATGAGTACGAATACGATTACGAATACGAAGGGATATATAGGAAGGCGACAGCTAAGAGTAGGAGTAGAGTGTGGCAGTATCAAGTTGGTTACTGAACGTTGTAGACGTATTGTGTTAATAGGGACGATAGACATGTGCATTCGGTTATGTGAAGACTAGTGAGGACGGTTGGGGGTCAGTTGATTCATTCTATTATTGTGAAGCATTTCTTTTGATTCATGTAATAAAAGGATCAATGGTAAACCTGCATCTTCGAGTATCTATATTGTGGTCGATGTTGTGTAGAATGAGTAAATACACTCGTTAACATTTGGCACTACAAGCAAATAGACTCGTTACATTTGGCGTTGTCGAGCAGTAGACTCGGTAACATTTGGCGTCGTCGAGCAGAAGATTCAACTAGACCAGCCGCTTTAGGCACCCCTAGTCAACCTAGTTCATAACTGTGTTTCGTGTGTGTGAATTCGGACATTCAGGAACAGTGAAAATTGAGGAACGAGGAAAATTATTCATACACACACGGTAAGAAAGGTCTTTTTTTATTTGAAGGAAATAAATAAAAGGGAAAACTGAAATCAGAATCGAGGAAATTGAAAAGAACAGAGATGAGACACCTTTCATTATCATTCTGGCTTGGTGTCACATGCTCTTTTGCTGCTGCAAGCATGTGGCTCAGTATACCCCTAGTTGTAGCACCAGCCACCCTGGGGACAGCTATGGGGCTGACCACCAGCATCCAGATAATTGGCATTGGTATCTCCAACTTGGTTGTGGGACAAATACTAGGCAAAGATGACAACCAAGATATAGATGTAACTCTTAGACACTGGAAATGTGTCATGATCTCCCTGTTGGGCAACACTATCTGCTGCATAGCTGCAACATTTTTCCTTAATGGGAATGACAGACGCAGGAGTGGTATTTTAAATATAAGAAAAGAACAAAAACTCCTGCTGGCCCAACAATCTGAGTCAGATAAAGATAGCCCAGAGATAGGCAACGGTGAAGATGACCCTTTGCCTCCAGATGGACCAGGACAAAATTTGGACAAAAAACCGATCCATATTGTGGTCCTGCCCAGTGAGTCCCACATCAACAAATTTTACGGGGACGGTGATCCAACCTTAACCAACAGGTTCAGTGAAGAGGTCAGGGCTGCCTGGGCCTCGAGATGCATGTCACCAGAGGAAAGATTAAGACTGCTGATGGGCAGTATAGGAGAGACGGTTAGGGCAGAGGTCAAATGCCACGATAAAACCATCCAATCAGATCCAGATAAGGTGCTGGATCTAATTATGGAGACCTTTGGGGAGAGACGGTCGGGATCGCAACTGCTATCGGTGTTTGTAGATATAAAGCAGAGACTGGCGGAGAGTGTGATGGAATATTCACACCGAATGAACAGGGCCTTTGAAGCTGTAAAAGGCAAAATACCCGACATGGATGCGCGCCTGCTGAGGGACCGTTTCATCGAGGGGTTGGCGACCCCTATGGCAAGAAGTTATTTGAAAGAAGAGGTCTACAAAGACACACAGTTGACCTTCCTTCAGGTCAGGAACTCAGCGATCCGCAGGTCCGAGGATGAGGACCAATCGAACTGTTCGGTAGACAAAGTCTCTGTGCCGGAACAGAAACAATCCCCACCCAAAGGGACCGGCACGATGGAAACCATGATGGCTCAACTGTTGGCCCACCTGGATAAGGTTGACCAACGATTGGAGAGGTTAGAAAGCAGGTCAACAGCTGAGAATCAGGGCAAAAACGGGACAAAACAGAGACAGGTTGGACAGCCGCGACCCGCTGGTCCATCACTCCAGTGGACAGCTGACGGTCGACCAATATGCCTGTCCCGCTCACAACCCGGACATATGGCACGGTACTGTCCGGTGAAACGATCGCCCTCTGTAGGGCAGGTTAGGGCTACAGAGCGGCGAGGTTATGGCTTAAGAAACAAAATGGGACAAACAATGAAAGAGTCTCAAACAAGACTCGAAGAGAAATTATCAGATATTGAAAAAATGAACTGTGAAATGAACTTGGATGTTAAAAAGTTTCAAGTGAACAATTTGTTGGCTGAGAAAAATGATGATAAGGAAGAAATTGGTAGACTTAATAATGAGATCTCAAGGTTAACCATGAAACTGGATAGGGAAAGTTCACGCAAATTAAAAGCACAGGAGAAATGTTCATCTGTAGAGTGTCTGTTATCTGAAGAAGAAAATAGAAAATTTGTACCTGGTTTTGCAAAAATTGCCGCACCGTTGCATGACTTGGTAAACAAAATGACAAAGAAACACAGTAAGGAGAAAAAGAAAGGCAAAACACAACTGATAGGTGAATTATGGACTGAGGAATGCCTGAACTCGTTTAAGCTACTGAAAAATGCGTTGACAGAGGCGCCGATATTAGGATACGCAGACTTTGACAAACCATTTCGGCTAGAAATTGACGCCAGCTCTAAAGGTCTGGGAGCTGTGCTATCACAACAACAGGAGCAAGGTTTCAGGGTTATTGCGTATGCCAGTCGAGCTCTGAAGGAATCAGAGAAGAACATGACAAATTACAGCGCCATGAAACTAGAACTTTTGACATTAAAATGGGCTGTGACTGAAAAATTCAGGGACTATCTATTAGGTGCTAAATGTGTGGTATACACTGACAATAACCCCCTGAGTCACCTAAAGACAGCAAAGTTGGGATCCATCGAACAGCGATGGGCAGCAGAATTGGCACTCTTTGACCTGGAGATAAAATATCGCCCAGGGCGGTCCAATGGCAATGCGGACGCCTTATCAAGGAATCCTTACGAGAGACCGGGCGATGAGGAAGAAACGCTGACAGGAATATGTGAGGTCAGAGCGTCAACAGATATCCCTCACGGGGTGCAAGTGATGCAAAACGGGCAGACTGTGGTGGAGCACATATCCACAGAGCCCCGTCATATGGACATTAATGATTTTAATTGCCTTAATAATAAAGAGATAAGAGATGCTCAGAGAACGGATAGTGTGTTACAGCCGCTATTGAAATACGTCCAGGAACAAAAATTCCCAAGAAGAAGGGAAAGAGAACAGTTTGGTCGGGAAACAAAGAAACTACTGAGTCAGTGGAACCGTCTCAGTATAAAGGATGGTGTTCTCATGCGGAGAATTCATGACCAAATAGACGGGACAATACACCAGGTGGTGGTGCCTGGACAGTTACGAGAAGAAGTGCTAAAGTTGGCACATGACAGGGCGGGACACCATGGTCAGGACAGGACGCACAAAATATTACGACGGCGGTGCTACTGGCCCAATATGGAGATGGAGGTTAAACGCCATTGTGAGGCTTGTGTGAGGTGTCAGCATGCGAAAATGCCAGTTGTCAAAATGAGACAGCCATCAGGACACTTACTGGCGACAAAACCACTAGAGATTGTGGCTATGGACTTTACGTCGTTGGAGCAATCATCGGATGGGACGGAACATGTGTTGGTGATGACTGACGTATTCACCAAATGGACTGTCGCGGTGCCCACACGAGATCAGACGGCCAAAACAGTGGCAAAGGTCTTAATAGAACATTGGTTCATCAAATATGGCATACCAAGACAATTACACTCTGACCAAGGAAGGGCCTTCGAGTCAGAAGTAATTAACCGACTGTGCAGCCACTACGGGATCAACAAATCTAGAACAACCACATTTAATCCGAAAGGAAACGGACAGTGCGAGCGGTTCAACCGCAGCATGCATGATTTGCTGCGTACTCTAGAACCTGAACAGAAAAAACGTTGGCCTGATTTTCTCCCAGAGTTGGTATATCTATACAACTGCACCCCCCATGCCACAACCGGCTTTTCGCCACACATGTTACTGTTCGGACGGGAGGCTCGACTCCCTCTTGACTTGTTCCTAGGAAAAAAGGAGAGTATGACTGGCTCATACACCGCACTAGAATATGTGAATGAACATATGAGACGAATTAGAGAAATGTACAGGGTGGTACAGGAAAGACTAGAACATGAAGCACGGCGAAGGGAACCGCCGGTACAGACAAAGGACCCGCCACTCAAACTGAACGACAGGGTATTATTGCGTAGCCACCCGTTAGGCAGAAACAAAATCCGAGACCTCTGGGGACAGGAGATATGGCAAGTCGTGGAGATGCCTAAAATAGCCGGTGGCCCCTTTAAAATAAGACCCACCAATCACACCAAACCGGATCGGTGGGCGAATATTGCTCAATTAAAGAAATATTGTCATAGTCAAGAAGAGCAGCTACACACAAAGAAACCTAAGACAATTAGGGAACCGGAAATTACAACGGAAATTCACATACCCATCCCGGAACCATGTCACCATCAACAGCACAACAGCGATACACAAGGGGAGGATAACGGCAACAATGAGGATCCCGGTCCTCCCAGAAGCAGAGACACAGTAGAACAGCAGACAAGTGGTCCGCGGAGAAGTTTGAGAAACAGAAAGAATACGAAATTTTTCGTCAGCAACCATCAATTCTTTCATGGTCGCGCTGGTATGAGAACAGACTGTTCAAAAAGTTATAAAAGTGAACTGGTGAAGGCACCAAACGAAAAAAGGTGGATGTGAATTCTAGAACTGCTTTGTGTCTGAGGAATATGATGAAGACACATTTGACATGTGAAATAGTGATAACTGTCAATCTTTTACGAATGTGACGACATTGACAGTGAGTGGAACAATAATTTTTTTTTTTACGGCGGTGCTTTTGACATTGAAGGAGTGCACCTGCCAAGCGTTGTTTGTGGTTGAAAACACACAAAAAAAAGGCGGGGGTGGATGTAACTAGGGTAGTTACCATACTATGGTTAACAACGTATTACAGTCTGATGCAATAGTGCAGATGTTGGGCTGATAACGATCACAAAGCCGCTGCGCAGTTCACAGGCTGACGTAACAGTGCAGATGGTTTATTAATCGGATTGTATGACAGAAGCTGCGCAATTAATATTCTGATGCAACGATTAGAATACGAGTACGAATACGAGTATGAATATGAGTACGAATACGATTACGAATACGAAGGGATATATAGGAAGGCGACAGCTAAGAGTAGGAGTAGAGTGTGGCAGTATCAAGTTGGTTACTGAACGTTGTAGACGTATTGTGTTAATAGGGACGATAGACATGTGCATTCGGTTATGTGAAGACTAGTGAGGACGGTTGGGGGTCAGTTGATTCATTCTATTATTGTGAAGCATTTCTTTTGATTCATGTAATAAAAGGATCAATGGTAAACCTGCATCTTCGAGTATCTATATTGTGGTCGATGTTGTGTAGAATGAGTAAATACACTCGTTAACATTTGGCACTACAAGCAAATAGACTCGTTACATTTGGCGTTGTCGAGCAGTAGACTCGGTAACATTTATATATATATATATATATATATACATACAAAAATATATATATATACATAAATATAGATAGATCAGAGGCGTAGCGACGGTGGGGGGGGGGGGGAGGCGGGTACATATGTCCCTGGGCGCCGACCCTAGGGGCGCCAAAATGGGTTGGGAAAAAAATTAAAAGCTCATTTCAGCTGTAGTTTTGAATTAAAAATATAAATAATATATGGGGGGGGCGCCAAATTGAAAGTTTGTCCCTGGCGCCGGGACGAGTCACTTCGCCTCTGAGATAGATGGATAGAGAGAGAGACAGACATCAGACAGAGACAGAGATGCATACAGATATAGATATAGATACATAATGTTTATACAGTGATAGAGATAGGAAGTGAAAATAAATAAAATTGGTGAATGAAGAGATCGACGAATGAATATATTATCCCAACGTCAGATCGAATAATTAGAAAGGGGGGAGGATTAAAGAAAGAACTGAGAGCGTGTCTTGACTTACAAATCCACCGCTCCAAATGGGAGAAACCCTGTGCGCCAACCAGACGTCAGCCTTGATAGAGCTGATGACGCCGACGATGACGCTGAGGAGTCCAAGAAAAATATGGCAGCTGGACACCGCCTGGACAGAGGTCTCGACGATCTTGAACATGGTCACGTGCCTTGGGTCACGAGGTTCTTCGTGAACGTGCCGCTGATAAAAAGAGTCGATTTCGTGAGTTTCACGTGTTTGAGAGTTCGGGGCGTACACTCTCTACATTTTAAATAGATTGTTTCGTAAATACGGGGAGAGGGTTTTTCAGACTTTTTAACTTAATAGAGTTTCTTCAAGGGTGGGTGAGAGTTCTGTTTTTTTTTTCTTCTAGAAGATTCCAGACAGGACGGTCGCTCAACTTGTATCAATCTTGATTTCAGCGTGGGTAGATCAGTTCAGCCGTGCCGGCCGGCTAGCGCGGTAGGTGACCGGATGTGGAATGTCGGGTCTGATATCCGGGAATTGTGGGTCGGGATGAAGTGTGGTCGTCAAGGCAACTGTGATGGAGTGGGTACCTCCGTTACCTGTGGAGGATGAAAGAGAAAAAGTTATTGAAGAGATAAATACGGTGGGTGGTTCGGTCACTGAGCAATGATTTATCGTGACATGAATACGCTTATACATAAACATACCGATACATACATATGGTATGTATTTACGGTCTTTCATTGTTTTCATGGGGGAAGGAGAGCTAGGCTGCTAATCTTCTAGTCTAGAGTTCGAATTCAGGTTCAAGTCAATAGAACGTACATGAGTCCACCCATCTCTGAAGGGTAACGAACTCACGTTAGGGAAAACAAAGGCGGGTGAGCATAGTGCTGGCCACACTATCCTTTTATATGTCGAGGTCACAGAAATAGATAAACTCTACTTTATTTACCACATGTGTCTTGGGAACCAAACGGGAAAATACGACGATCATTGTTTACACGTGCCTCTACAACACACTCATTTCACGCGCTGATGTTTACATTGCGTCCTATGTTTGTTTTGTGCGGTTGTTTTCATTTATTATTTTTTTTAATTATTTTTTTCAATTTTTCTGGCAAAGAGAGACAATCGTGTTTAAAAATTCTCTACATTGGGTCCGATAAACACTCCGATACTTAATAGAAACGTACCTAAGATTAAAAGAAACATAATTTATCGAGCCAAGTCAAACGCACCTGATAGAACAAAAAGGAGTACCGAGGGGGGGGGGAGGTGAATTCCCATCAAACCAGAATATGGGCTATACTAGTGTATTGGTGTGTAATATTTTCCTATACCTACATATATCTATCTATATCTTTACCTATATCCATGCCCATCATATATATATATATATATATATATATATATATATATATATATATATATATATATATATATATATATATATATATATATATATATATATATATATATATATATATATATATATATATATATATATATATATATATATATTCCTGAACTCGCCCCTGGATGTATTTGCTCAAGGGGGTCGTGTGGACCCGATAAATGGATTGTCCCCTAGCGATGTTCAATGCCCTCTCCACACACAAAAAATAACCTAGATATTTTATCTACATATATATTCACAGCAAAACGCCAACAAAACTGCTTTTTTTATAAAAAAAAATAGCGTATATATAATATCAGTTTTTACTCCAAATAGCCAGTAATAAGGGAGAATAACTGCAATGATTTAAGACATTTTTTCAAAAAGCTCTTCATTTTTGTTTTGAAATCGATGGGACGTCAAAACGGATACTAAACAAACACAGCAATACCCTGGACAAGCGTGTTGGATAACGGATGGCCTCTGATGTATGATGACGCACGAGGGGTATCATTCATGCTTCAGTAATTAAACCAAATTAATTTAGCTGGCCACCAATTGATTATTTTTTTTCCTCCGTAGCCGTTCGCGATTTGGATGTGTGTATGAGTGGGAGGGGTGGGGGTCTGCAGATATTAATTTTGTTGTTGGTTTAGGTTAGAGGGGGTGGGGGGATTGCAATTGGTTGTCACACGTTAACAGATGAGGGGTGAGTGAGATGAGTGGGTTGTACTTGGTTGTTACACGGGGGGGGGGGGGAGAGGTGAGGAGGTGTATTAGGCTAGAGGTGAGGGGTAAGGGGTGGGGGATGACGGTGGGGTATATTTACTTGTCATAATGAGAGAAAATGGTTGAAATGGGAGAGTTGTCAGATGATAGCGGGGTAGGAGAGTGGCGGGTGGAGTTGAAGAGATAGGGCGTTATAGCAAAAGAGGGTGGGGGGGGGGTATTGGACGGATGGGTCTATAGAGCTCGTGTACAAATATTAAGGCGTGTAGGGGTGATGTTGGGGATGCATGGCGGAGGACACTTCTGTTTAAAAACTGAAGAACTGTTTTGAAGTTTGAACATGCTGATGCGACTGCTGATGTGTTTGACGTTGATGATGTCACTTGTGATGTGTGTGTGGGTGGGTGGGTGGGTGGGTGGGGATTGATAATGACAGCGGTGATGTTAGTCAAAGGTATCAGCGATGATGTTCGAAGTTGATGATGTTAGTGGTTATGTGTGGGGTGGGTGTGTGGGTGGGTGTGTGAGGGGGTGGGTGGGGATTGATAATGTCGGCGGTGATGTTAGTCACTGATATCAGTGATGATGTTCGACGTTGATGATGTCAGTGTTGATGTGTGACGCTGATGAGTGGTGATGTGTGATGTTGGTGGTATGTGTGATTAATGATGTGTGTGATGATGCGCAAACTGATCTGTGCACATTCGTGTGTTGCAAGGCTGGTTACGTTGCAGTATGTTGATGTTTTAAACCTGCATTATACTCATCCTAAAATATACTGACGCAATGTAAAAAAAAATTAACAGACGAGAGAATACAACAGCACAGACGTCGCTACAACCCACCACACCCACACACCCACCACACCCACACCACACCCACACACCCACACACCCAATCACCCACACACCCCAACCAACACGCGAACATCAGACATCGTTTAATTATAACCCCGCATCGAACGACACGGCTGTCGATATCTAATTAGTGTCATTTTATTTTTTTCGTCTGAAAATTGTGGATGAAAACATGTTAAAAGCTGTGTTTTTTGGCTGAAGAAAGATTGATATGGGTGGAGACAACACGACTCGCCCCCTTCCTCCTCCCCCCCCCCCCCCCCCACACACACACACACAACACGACTCGCCCCCACTGCAGGTCTGAGGTTAAGAAAATTTGGGATTCGTCTTTTTTTTTTAGCGAGACAAATAATTAATAGAAAACAAACTGCTCATCAACAATTCAAATAAGGAAATAAAGAAATATCAAGACTGAGAGAAACAAAGTGCGCGTATGTTTTTACACAAAGAAACAAAGAGGTATCTATGTAGAAAAACAAAGTGCTTATTGCAACAAAGAAGCATCTCGATAGAGAAACAACCTGATCAAATGTATTTAAACAAAGCAACAAAGTGAACTGCTGTAGATGTTCAAAGACATCTCAATGTCTCATATAAAGGGAGGGTGGGGGTTCATCCCAAATTTTACAGAATTTCTAACCCACCAACCCCAACCCCTATATCGTCACTCTCTCAAAAAGACATTTCTCCCCCTTTCCCTACAGGTCTAATTACACACAACTTAAAAAAAATAAGCCTAATTTTCTTGAAATTTACTATAATTTAAATTTCTTCAGATGTGTAATTTATTAGGAATACAAAAAAAAACTATCTTTTCCTGCCCCCCCCCCTTCCTTTTCCCCTCCACCCCGCCCCCCCCCCCCCCTCTCTCTCTCCCCACCCCCAGGGGTCTGTGATGTCAATTATGGACAACCTCTAACGGAAACAGCACTTTCTACAACACTATTGTACCGATACAGAATGATCCATTGGTCTAAAGCGACCAATCGCGTGTTTCCTTTCAAAACAAAGTGTGACGTCGCCAGTAAGTCGACCAAGCTGCTTCTCGATATAAATAAAACATCGGGAAATCCCAAAAAAAACGCTAATGTCAATAAGTGTAGTTTACTTAGTGATGTTGCAATGGGAAAAAAAAAACTTTTTTTTTCGATATTTTTTTTTTTGTATAAACTGGCATTTAAAAATTATGGTGTATTCAACAAAAAAAAAATTTGTTATTTCAGAAAAGTAAAACACAGAGAAAAGGGGATCCTGAGGTTAATGTAAGGAATGACATTAAGCATTGATTCGATATGCGTCTCGCCATCTTGTCTAAAGATATTTATTTTATTCGTCTGCTTCAGCTTTCCCTGCAGTGGGGTGTCAATATTGGATGAAGATAAAATAGGAAAAAGGGGAATGGGTTGCTATATTGGCTTTTGCAAGCCAAACATATGCATGGTGAAATGAACAGTGGTGGGGTGGGGTGTGAGAAGGGGGTAGGGAAGAAATTGTAATATTGGCAGGGGCGGCACTACCTATAAGGCAAACTAGGCGGTCGCCTAGGGCGCCATTACTAGGGGGGGGCGCAAAAGGTTTAATCGCTATTATCAAAAAGTACCTGATAATGAATAACTTTTATAAAGGCGTAGCGATCTATTTCGGCACCCAGGACGAACTATCAATTTTGCACCCCCACCCCAAAATTAGGTCTATATAGGCCTGGTGTTTAAAGTTTTGTATTGACGGGGTTTTCAAAGTATTGTCACTTGTTTGATAAATTTTGATGAATCGTTTAGATTTGGGAGTAGCGGCGGAAGGCTGTTGCTGATATGGTTTCGTAGGTATAAAGTTAAAGTATCGAAGTGTTAAAGTGTCATAATTTTTATTCGGCTGTTTTGTACTTTAAGATCTAGGGGAATCTGATTGGTAATAGATAAATGAGAATGCATTTGATGAAGTATTGTAGTTCTGGAATTCGGGAAGATTTTTTCTTGTGGTATTAAGGTATCGAATTATATTGACTGTTAAAGTGTAGTAGTAGGTTCCGTGAAATCGTTGTTGATTGGGAGTACCGTTTGTAGAGCTTGGTGAAGTTAAACGAGTTGGTGTCGTAGTTCTGGAGTATCGAGTCTAGTTATGTTTCGGTATCGAAGTTTGATATGTGTTGTGAATGTAGTAGAGTATATCAAGTAGTCGAGTTTATCGTACGTTAGATGATTTCAATTCAGTACGGAACACACTACAAAGAAAGGTGGGCGTTCTCTAGTTGAAAAAATCTAAAAATTTTAGGAATCTATATTGCCACAATATATTTTATTAAATAGGATGGAATTTATAATTAATGGTAAACTTTGGTTTTTTTTTTCAATTTATACTTTTTTTTATAGCAATGTCTACAACAGTTACCCTTGTTTGATCTTTTGAAAGACGTCCCTTTATTTAAAGGTTGAAAGGTTGAAAGGGGTGGAAATCGAAAGTTTGAGGGGAGGGGGGGGGGGTTGCTAATCGAAAATTAGAGGGGGGTGCAAATCGAAAGTTTGAGGGGGGGTGCAAATAGAAAATTTGAGGGTAGGGTGCAAATAGAAAATTTGACGGGGAGGGGCGGCGGTGCAAATCGAAACTTTTGTCC